GCACTGTGAAATCGGCAAACATGTTTAACAGTGATCTTATGAATAAAACGTCCTTTTGTACACTGTATGGCAACTTTCCGTAATTGATCGATATATAAGTTAAAAATCTAAAACTATCATTTCCTCAAGAGGTAATATAAACCCTCCCTATTTTCTTTAAATGATTGACTTAGAGAAACATTCGTGGAAAAATTAAATTTTTCCTACCTGGCAAGGGGAAGGACTTTTCAGGTATTAGTCGTCGTGAGAAAGGATCACTGTCAGTTTATTTCCGTGTGCTCTCCCGAGCGGTATTTATAACAATTTTGTTTGTGCCGGTTTCTTTTCAAACGCAATTTAACATGCAACTAGCCGCTCTGATTTGGCCGTTGGATAACTGACTGAAATCTTGTTAATTGCAGTTTATTCTTTAAGTGAGAATTTTCTGGCGCAATTCTGAATGACCAAAATTAAGAGCGTGACACTGGCGTGACGTGACACTGCAGCTGCTTGATCCTACCCCCGCACCATCTGCTGGCCAATTATCAACAAAACATCTAAAGTACCCTTTAGAATAAAAAAGACAACTTAACTTCATCATCGAAAACAATACATCTCATTTTATGTTATGATCTTTTTGTCTTTTACCCCCTTTACTTGTAGGATTGAGGATCCGAGTATATAAAACTTGAAAATTCTTGTAATTCCTTTTTTGGGTTTCTTTAGTATCAAATCTAGAAATCAGTTGCCTCAAAATAAGGGATTTTTTCAGCAAAATTCTTCTAACAGGTGATGAACTCCTTTATTTGACTTAAATTGAAATTACACCTGTTGTTTTAGTGAGTTTTAGTACTGAAAACAACAAACAAACAAAGAAAAACATGACAGCAACACTCTTCTCTTAAAAACTTTTTTTTTTAAACGTTGTCTTACGCTGAGTTGATAATGTGATAGTGATACAACGTTTTAAACGCTCAGTCCCAGAGAGTTCCCTGTAGGAATTTTTCTTTTTGGTTTAAGTTTGATTGCCCTTTTTTACGGTGATTCCTAAGATGTAGTTAAAACGGATTTAAAGACTGGACATGGATAAATTTTCATCGGTGTTTTTCAATCAGCAACATAGAGGATTAAGTATAATTGACCACACTCTTGAAATCGTTAAGATAAACTTACTTCCGTACAAGACAGCCCTCGAAATTTAGTTGTAGCAGCAGTTAATAACTTTATTCACATATTTGTTTAATAAGATGGCAAGATCCGTTTCGAACTAAGAAAGACTCAACTCTGTTCCTATCATTTCCTCCTTCTCTGTCTCAAGCGTTTTATGCGGTGATGTCCTGTGACTTCCAACCCTATCAGTTATCATGTGGCTAAGGCCCGTTTCAAACGTCGTGCTACTGCCGTGAGGAACTCAATTGATCGAATTAAAATTCGACTTTAGCACGGCAGTAGCGCGACGTTTGAAACCAAGCCGTGCTACTTCCGTGTAGCACGGCAGTAGCTCGGCTTGGTTTCAAACGTCGTGCTATCGCCGTGCCGAACTAAATTCATGAATTATGAAATAAATTAGAATATATTTAAAAGTTTGCTAAACCGTTTCTTTATTTTCATGTTTTATTTTTGGCAACAGCCGTTCCATTCGACTGTCATTGTGTGAATTATATTCGACGTCTGAAACCAAGTCGTGCTAATGTCGTGCTGCAGTTGAGCTACAGTCGAGCCAGCTTAGCACGGCAGTAGAACGACGTTTGAAACAGGACTAAGCAGTAGTAAATTTCTCTAAACAAATTCTAAAATCATTGAAGGTGAAAGGTTGAATGATAACCTGGCATTGATAATTGTTTGTAACAGGTGTACGCAGATCTCTTTAGAAAACAACAATAGAAAACAAAAACATTCATTTTCGCGGTTACTTGTAAGCATCATTGGTAAGTAAAAACAAGTTCTGGGACAGCTGCTTGATGACTGATTACAGGAATTTCCTTGAAGTTATTTTTCAAGTGTCTGAGCGTGATACTAAATCTGTATTAAGCCTACTTGCACTTTTCTAAACGGTTTTAGTTCGAATGTTTTTTTCTTAATTCCATTCATGCTTAGCGGAGACGTCGCTAAGGTCGACATCGACTGCAGTTGGACGAAAGCGAGATGGATATCCAAATAAACAGAGGCAGGCGGGGCTTCCGTAGAGGCACAGCAAGACATGTGTTCTGCTCTGCTCAATATAGATCTCAAGATGAACAGGAAGAACATAGGACTCAGTACGCTGGGACATAAAGTCGCCTTAAGTTACGGCGACTTAAAGTCCCATATTATGCCTGAACACGATATTCATTGAAAACATATCACTGTTTGAGAGAACATTAATAACAAGAGCAAAGTGCAGTGAATATATTAGGTAGTGCTATCAAGTAACCATAACCGTTACGACCTAATTAAGCTATCGGAATATAACCTAAGCAAGATTTATAAAAATGAACTGATGCAATCGTTATGCTTTATTTTGTGATGATTTTCTTAAAAAAATCAATAAAGGAAGCTTCTTAATTACACATTAATAGTCTATACTGGACGTTTTCTTTTCTTACGATATATTAAATACGTCGGTGGTAGTAACATTAAGGTTTGAGCACGGTTCTGCAACAGACTGGCTTTGATTTACCCTCTTGTCATAAATTGAGTCAGTAATTTATTAGTTGTATTCCCATAGTATAATCAGCCCAGGGGGCGTGCGTGTGACTTTTCTTTTCTTTTCTTTTGCAGACAAAATTTTGAAATTGCGTTTGAAAGCTCATCCCAAGGACATTTTGAAATCAATCGCAAACAGCCTGAAAAGTTACCGCAAGCTACCGTATGAAAATATATTTCTCTTTGAAGTGAATAACCACGGGGAAGCCAGGTTCCCTAAAATTTTTTCCTCAATTAATTCCCTATTTCCTGAAGGCCAGGAGTCAATTGCCTTCAATGTTTAGTTTCTCACTCCTAAAACGCAGAAAACGCATTGACTGCAAAGCTTCCTCATTCTTATTCATCAACACATTTAGACACAGATTTTGCAAAAGGGAGACGTGCGTCAGAGAATTTTTATCAGCATTTAGGTAAATAATCAGGGTTCACCATAACTTCAGTCTTACTGGAATCCTACGTTTGAGAATGGTTGTCTTTGGCTTAATTTATAGTAGAAAAATGCGAATTTAACATTTTATAAATAGTATGCTTTTATCTGAAAAGGTCTTTTGTTGTCTTCGTCAATATTTCCTCTTTCACGACCCTTGTTTCTTTTCCCTAGCTATCGAACTTGGTGATAGTTGTTCTTGGTATAGGTCTTAAACCTTAGCATTAAAATATGTTTCAGTTGACTGGCATGACTGACTCTTAAAAGGTAAAATCGGTAAACGGTAAATTAGTTTTATTGTTTTTAATATACGAAATATGCGGACGAACGAGAACTTCGTGGGGAACAAAAGAAAAGAAAAATGATTTTTTTAAAAGTAAACGTAATACTTTACCGATCAGTTATTAATCCTCCTTGACAATTTAGTAACTTGATATTTTATTGTGTGTTTGTACTAAAATATCCTTGAACGCTTAGTGTAAAAATGCCGATATTGGACCGTAATCAACTGATAACAAAAACAGAAATCTATATTCTCGATGTCGCTAATGTAGATGAAAATGGATGTCATGTAACGTTCTCCTGCGCTTTATAGTAACGGCGCATGCTTTGTTTGAAAACTTCTAATCTTTTTGAGTGGTGATCAACATCAATTTTCTCCTGATGATATCCATACATCATCAAGAGAAAAAGTTATGAGATTTAACAAAAGGATTACTGTAGAGAGAAAATGATTTAGTTTTTTTATGAAATACTCTCAACACATTATTTAAGAAAATGTACAGAGATCAGTCTAGGGAATTTGTATGCGGATATTGGGGCTTAAAGGATTAAAAACAAACTGAAGAGAAAGAATTGCAAAAACAAACAAACAAACAAACAAACAAACAACAAAAAAAACAAAACAAAAAAAAGCAGTCTTGCATTTAACCTTAAGTATTGCAACCATTTTTTTTTGCAAAATACCGTAAAATTTCGAAAATAAGCCCCTCCATGTATAAGCCCTTCCAAATATAAGCCCCCCAATCCGGTGGCGCAAAAAACCGTCCGTTAAATCGCCCCTCCAAATATAAGCCCCCCGGGGGCTTGTACTTGAAAAATTGCCCTCAAATACAAAGTAAAACAAAGCAAAAACGGTACATTTACTTCCAACTATAAGGCTAGCCCAATCGATTTTAAAACGCAAATTTCCTCCGTAGATAAGTCCCTCCGAATATAAGCCCCTCCAAAAATAAGCCCCTCAAAAAGGGCCTTTGAAAAATATAAGCCCTGGGGCTTATTTTCGGAATTTTACGATAATTGATGAATACACCTTTTTTTTTCTAAAAAAATGCTTTGATGACAATCCAAATATATTTCCGTTTTCATTATATTGATCCATCCATTTATTTGCAGATCAGTTGCGGCTTATATTTTCGACATTATATATTACAGATACAAAAATGTTATTTCATAATGAAATTATCTGTTTATGAGAAATTTCTATCAATAGATTAGGTAGTGCCATGTATATATGGAAATATCTATTATAAATAAATTGTTGTTGTTGTTGTAGTTGTCTGAGGCCAGCTCTGCCAATGAATCAGTCAGTCTTAAAAGTTTTTTTTTTTGTTGAATTGTTTGATGTTGAAAGTTGTAGTTTTTGTGAGCTTAGTATATAGTTATTCTCAGTTTAATTCCACAGTACACAAAAGGTGCTGTTAAAAATAAACTGTGCCATTAGCCCTGGCATTTCCTTTGTACGTAATCCGATTATACAATTATTCCGGGAAAATGAAACCATAACCCCATCGTGTTTATCACTATTGCACAATTTCACATTTAAATTATCGCTGAAGCTCTAAATTGGTATCTGTGAACTCTGCTTGACTGCCTATCAAAGTAGTATCCCACTGTACTGTGTCGAAGCATGGAGTTTTCGCGACAATCGGCGGGAAAAGTTCCCGTTACTCTAGAGGAATTTTTGGATCGTCATGAGCGTTTTCTTCCCAGGACAGTTAAGCTGGTGGATGGGTTTTGGGGAAGTGAAGAAGACGAAACATTAGAAGCAGACCAGATCTTGGTTTTGTATAAAGTCGAGAGGCTAAAAGTTATTATGGCACTTGACGCATTCCGCCAAGAGATCTTCTTCCCACGAAATTCGAGCTTTAAGGTTCACCTTCTTCCACCTGAATGCAAAATCTACAACACGGTGCAAAAACTCATCACTGATCAAACGCCGCCGTACATCCTTGTTCTTGAAGACATTCCGTCGACTGAAATCGAATCAGGAAGTAAGATCAATATACTGAGCAATGGAAGTAGCGTCTCCAACCATTTAAAGTGTCAAGTTATCAAAAATGGCGCGTCCAAAGAAGTTCTACTCTACTCACATCTTAAGGGGAAGTTTCTACCATTGTTGGAAGCTACAGAGTATAGCTTAGACGAGGTTGTCACGCAGAAACATCTTCCCGTAAGTGTTCGCTTTGTGTCTGGGTCAATATCAGCCAATGACCGGGTCATCGCGCCATCGTTGACCAATCTGGGAAACATTTGTCTTTCAGACGAGGCGGAAGTTCCCATGGTCTTTGCAGCTTCATTTGACGAAACTTTGTCACTGTACGTTTTCCCCAAAACACTGGAAATTAATGTCAGCTGTGGATTTAAAGTCTCAGCGGAAATCAGCAGAAAGGTCAAGGAATGCAGGAAAATCCTCCACACAGGCGTCACTAGTTTGGAAGAATTCGACGATTTCGTAGCAAGTTCCTTCTATTACGCAGCGAGCCCCGTCAGAAAGTTTAGTTTGCAATCGCCTCAGGAAGCCGCCCTTCCAGTACTTCCTCCAAGGTCTCGGATTGGTGAATGTCAACAAATGACAGAGGTAAAACTGTATACAAACGTAGTAGATTTAACACAACACGACCTTTTCCCAGAAGGGTATGACAAACAAGTAGGTGTAGCAATTCCATCTGTGATTGTTTATGACGACGGAGAAAGCGGTTCACAAGAAGATATTGCCCCACCCTTGCCTCCCAAATATGGTGAAAAGACACGCTCGGAGTTCGTATCACGTGGTGTAACACCGCCGGTATTACCTCCAGAGCACAAATCTGATTGCGAGACTCATGACTCAGACCTAGCTTACTTAGTGGTCGATTTACCTACCTGGAAAAGGGACGAGGATGAGCACGAAGGCGACAGAAGCTCCCTTCTAGAACTAACTGGTAAGCCTGACGAGGGGGAAAGGGTAGACAAGAAACCACCTGTAAGAGATAAAGGCAACTTTGAAAAGAGCGAGAACAATTTTGGGGCCTGCGAAAAGGTGAACGTTGAGCAAGATGACGTCAGAAACGTCTTCCAAGAAGTGACTTTTCAACCTGTTGGAATGGAAGACTACCTCATCCCGGCTGAACAGAAACCGTCAGGACATAAAATGAACTGGGAAGATGCTGATGATAATTACTTGATACCCGTAGAGGCAAGGGGTAGCGCCTTTGAGCAAAATGACGCTAGAAACGCCTACCTTGAAGTGATTCATCAACCTGACAGAACGGAAGATCTGAAAAGGGAAGGCCATATGGTGGACTGGGAAAAAGCTAATGATAATTACTGGAAGTCTGCAAAGGATGACGTTATTAAGCAAGGTGGTGCGCGAAATGTCAACCTAGAATTGATTCATGAACCTGACGATGTGTATCTCGTCCCGAGGGAAGAAGAAGAAAGGAAAAAACACCAAATGGACTGGGAAAAAGCTGAAGATGACGATTATGCAAATGTTTTAGATGGTGGTTCCCTCACATGCCCTCACCTATTACGAAAAAGCATGGAAAATATTGCAGTCCAGCATGTTGCAGAGGAAAACGACAGTTCAGACGACGAGCCTTACGAAGAGATATTCGTACCCCTGGAGTCTCTGGAGTCTTCGGCGCGTGAATTTCGACTGGAGAGGACCACAGGAGAGCAAAAGAAAGAAGGGATGAAAAAGCCATCCACGATGTCCAGTAGCAACAACAAAGACAATAGCAAAACCAGAGGAACGAGCGGAAAGGAAGAGGTTGCAGCGGCACCTTCCAGTAACAACAACAACATTTGGATCTCCACTCGCCGCGAAGAGGACTGCATTGATTTGAATGACATTGAACAGTTTTTTAAACTTAGAAAACAGTTGAACGACTTGAGTGTGCGAGCAAAAGATCTTGAACAGGTCTGTGCAAAAGAAGAGCCGATGGAAAGAAGAAGATTACCTAAGAAAACTGATAACACAACTCCATGGTTTAGCTCCGATAGGTCACACGACTTGGACAACGACTCGGAAGAAGCCATGAAAGAGAGGCTGGCAAAGAAAAAAACAGATGCTGTCCCCGAAAGGGCGAAGCCAGCAGATCAAAAGCGCCAAGTGAGGAAACCTTATGGACCAGAGCATGTCTGCAATGATGGGAATGGTGACATTTACGAAGAATGCATCGACAGAAAATTCGTCAGCCACCACAAAACATCAAATAAAAACAATTTAGTTTTCTTCTATGGAAATGACAGTAAATATAAAGAAAAATCTGGCACATAGCTGTTGCTGAACCGAGCCGTCAAACCATGATGATGTAGGGACAAGAGCGGGTACTGGTGGTAAAATACGGCTACTGTAAGCTTCCGCTTATAAGATATGGGCTCATACAACTTCATAACAGGGCTTATAAACAGGGGGATTATACCCGGGGAACTTTTGACCACCTATGACCGGACTGGGGGGAGTGGAGGCTTATAAGCGGAAGTTTACGGTATACTAACATTGAGAGATAGGTACGTGAATATTTCTATGGACATAGATGCGACAGTGTATCTCCTAGCAACCTAACAACAACACAAAACAGTTTGTTTAAAATATCATGTGCTTTTTTGACAATGCCGGGAAGAAAAGTCAGTGCGGTTTTACACATCTAGCCGCTTAGTTTTTCTTTTTTCCGTGAAACGGTTGCATAAAGCACCTAGGCTGAAACTAAGATACGAGATAAGATAAACTATTATTTGCTGCAATTGTGCGCTAGTTTTATGAACAATAAGAAAAATATTAGTAAATATATTTTCAAGTCTTTCATGCTTTTTTAGAATTTGAAGAAACTTTGATTTTTAAAATCGGTGGGAATGTGTCAAAGAAGAGTCACAGTACCAGATATTGTCTGCTTTCCAGAATTAGTAAGGACTTTTGATTTGTTTTGTTGTTGTTGTTGCTATTTAACAATTATTCCTCGAGCTCGAATGGGCTCTGAGTATACAGCCAATGAGGCCGAAGGCCGAAAGGGCTATTGACTCAGAGGCCATGAGGGTGAGAGGAATAATTGTTTTAGTAAAATCCAGCCAGTTGGTCAAAAATATCGAAAATAAAAAAAAAATTAGCTGGTTAAAGCTAGACTTTAATCCTTTTTTGCCGCCAAAAAGCCTGCGTTTTTCGCTACTAGTGGGCTATAACATATAGCCTAGTAGTAGCTCAACCAATCAGAACGCAGCATTGATAATAGACCATTAGTTGGATTTTACTAAAGCCATATATATAGCCATGGACATGCATGACTAGCATATTACGCTGATATTAGTAACATTATACACTTAATGTCAGATCCCGAGGGAAACAGTTAGTTTTGTTTTCCCGAGAGTCCTGAGTCCTTCCGAGACGAAGTGGAGGGAAACATCAGGACTCCAGGGCAAACAAAAGTAACTAGTTTCCCGAGGGACCTGACATTAAGTGTTTTGTTATATTTCTAGACTTTCAGTTCAACAGCAACAAAAGAATAATCGGAGCGAACCCGAAAACAGTCGACTATAACAACACAAATTTAATACTCAAAACCACTGAAAGAATGATTTACAAAAGTACTTTCCTTATGTTATCTGCATATTTTTCCTCCACCAGCTGTTGTTTCTCTTGTAGGATAACTTTAAAAATCGTTGCTTTTTAGCTTAAGGCTTCGTGTTTGTGTTCTTGTGTTCATTCACGAAAAAGAAAACTGGCAGTGTTGGTTTTTCCCGCCTTCTGTCACGCCACTTTCCACCATTCTTTGATCGTGCCGTAATGTATCCCAAGCAGGCTACATTGCTTAATGTACCACGATCGGGATACGTTTGATTTTAGTCAAGGCCACGTGACCAAGAATCAAGCAATGGAAGTCCCTGTTTAGTTGAGTGAAAGTCTAGGAATATTACAAACAAACTTGAAACGGTTTAATCAGGAGGTCAGTCTTGTTTATACCATAAAATGTGTGTGAAGTTTAGCACATAAAGCGATAAACGTTGTCCAAGGTTGCCCAAAGTTAAGTTCCGTATCTTAAGCTCAATTATATTTAATGACCATGTTTGCATAAAATCTACTCAGACTGATTTAAGAAGACAAGCAAGTTCGACATGTCTTTGTTAGTACGCACAAATGGATCGGTTTGCCCTCAACGAGTCTGTTACAGGACAATACATTGATTTATCTTAGAAACAATAAGTTTAGCATTTTTGCGTCTTGAAGTGAGTTTGTACATAAAGAGTGGAGCATAGTGGACAGCCATTTTCCTGAAAATGCGATTATTACAGAAAATGGTATAAGTAAGAGTGTTATTTTTAGCAATTAAAGTTGTTACTGTGAAAAAGAGGATAACTATAAGTTAACGCCCAATTCACAAATTCACACTTGCCAAACCTGTTTAGCTAATCGGGTTTGACAATCTGTTAAAGAAAGTTAATCTTAACTTGTACTTTCGTTTTAGCTGATTAAAAAACAAATTAGAAAACAGCTTTTATGATGAAAAGTTTGGTTTTACTAAACAGCTTTTTGACATTTCTTGGTGTGAATAGGGCGTTGTCAATAGCCTTTCTATTATTTACAAAAGTGAGTTACCTTGGTAACTAGTAATAACTTCTAGTTTTCTCTGCTGTTTAGCAATACATACAGAATAACAACTGAATTTAGTGAACAGGTTAAAGGTATATTTTTGCGATGAAAACGGATGTAAGTTGAATATTTTTAAACCTTCTTTGATACTGAAAATATGTTTAACTGCTGATGAAATAGGGCTAATTTCTCGGTAAGTGGAAATGCTGTTTCCCTACTTGAAGTTTAATCGCAGTGTCCTCTTTGTACGTAAACCAAAACCACTTAATGGCAAAATAACAAAATGATTAAAACGTGATTTTCATTTCTGTGACGAGCGTAGGACAGGAAATACATCCCAGGGAATACTCCCCTATGAAAATGACGTTGGTACTCGTCGTACGCCATGAGGGTCGTCACGGTACTTATTCAACGGCCTTTAAGGTTTGTGTGTTGCAATTAAATTCTTACATTTTTCCTCTTGAATGGGGTTTGCTTTGAGTGTTTGGGCCTTAAATAAAGTATCATTTTTCGCCTATTTTATCCTTATAGAGTCAGGATTTAGCACCCTGGGCGGCAATTTATGGGAATGTATTCCCACACACCCACACTTTGCATGCATTTACGCATCACTCGACTTCGTTCAGAATGATAAACACTAAACGAAAGGAACCGGCGAGAAACGGAAACGCTCGCTACACAGGCTATATCACACATTCGTCTTTAGTAATTCCCAAGAAAGAGCTTCATGCTCAGGAGCATTTTACATGACCACTTTACTTAATAACAGAAATGGTTAGACATATATTCCCTTCTCACCGCCTGGCCCATGTAAGGGAATCCAAGACATTCTTAGATTCTGGATTCCACAAACTGGATTCTAAAGCCGGGGATTCCGGATTCGACAACTCAAATTGCCTGGTTTCCGGATTCCACAAGCAAAATTTTGCCGGGTTCCCTTACCTAGAGAGAAGCCGCTGTTCACTAACACTGCATGCTTCTGCCTCATTTAAATTATTTTCTTACCGATGAATTCATTTTCATTAGGATAATAGAGCGGTTTTCACTTGACTGTCGAAAGGGATTGGTTTTGGTTTTGGTTTTGGTTTTACTACGCCCTTTGGTTGGCTAGTGTATTTACTTTGGTTTTGGTTTTACGACAGTCAAGTGAAAACCGCTCTATAGCTAACTGATTCTTATGGGCCAGTCAAACTAAGAACATCGGAAAGGTTGCCACAAGGTGAAAATTTGTTGAACGCAGTTTTGTAACAACAACCCACCTGTCATCAATTAGTAGAAAAGCAACAACAAACATCAATAGAAATGCCACCCCAAACTTGTTCATCCTTGCGGGAAACCTAACGACGCATTGGGAAAACATTCAATTTCTCGCTATTGCCTTTACTATTTACCCTACGATTCATTAATACGCCACTTACACATTTCCCGTAATGCACCTTATTTGCCCCCACCCACCCCCCCCAACAAAAACATTTTTATAACCTTTATTTTCATTTCCCCTGGGTATTACAGTCGTCCAAATGCTTACGCAAAATTTTGAGGAGCAAATAAGGTGCACTGTGGGAGATGTGCAAGTGGCGTATTGAGCTCAATATGAGCTCGAAATGAGAAACAAATGAAAAAAAATGTGATTACGCTGATTCATTGTAGACTGAGTAAGGGTTTAACCTCGTTTTCATCTCTCCTCTTCTTCCCGTCCCATGGAGCGAGAGAGATCCTGGAAACGAGGCTGCTATATGATTATTCCTGGGCAAGTCTACGATGTCAAATTGGATGACAATGATGAAGATAGATGTGCCTTTGTGAAGTTAAACTGAATTGTTTATATAACTAATATGAATAAACAGCCCTCTCATGGGGTAAAAGAGTAGGTGAGGACCCTGGGAACGAGGTCAAGTCACACTTTATGTGTCTTGTTTTACATGGAGTGGTTTAAATTGTGTTTCCTTTTCCGCGAAAATAGAATCTGCATCATGTCTATGAGCAGATTCGAAGTGTAAGATATCAAAAAGGAAAACTAAACGTTATTAAAAAGCGAAAATTATCATTTTTAAGTCTGTACGTTTTGCTGACTGGTTTTTGGAATTTCAAAGATATTCAAAATTCGCACCAAAACCGTTCTAAAAATAAACTGGTCCGTGAAAACGCCGTGACACAAGCGTATGGACGCTGCTCGCTCCAGCTTATGGGCTCCTGGTTTCGTTGGCATGTTCGTCTGCGGCGATTGCTTCAAAAATTTAATTATGGTGCAACTGATACAGTGTACCCACTGGCATTTGTATATTTACGGTTTCGAGAATCAAAGCTAATAAGTGAAACGTGACTTTCTACACTAATGGCCCAAAGGAATAAGTCCTATTTTAAAACAAGCCGGTCGTGCTCATGAATACTTCATACAGTGTAGATAGTTATTGCGTTACTATCTCAGCCCGACTATAGCCTTTTTTTTACTTTTGATATTTCTTCAAGTTTTCTGTGTTACTAAATTTATATTCCGCCCGCCTTAACTAACTCTGTAGTCGCATGGGGGAACAAGAACATTATATAAGCAGGAGCCCATAAGCGACTGGTATTAATTGTATTCTAAAAATTGTTGGTGTTTTCGTAGCTTTTGTAGTTGTTGTTTTTGTTATTCAGTACGCTTAACTTGTATGGTTTACCCTATAGTTCCAGGAAGCCTATAGTTTATAAGCCCCCGGCTTCTATATAGGCTTCCTTGCCTTTACCACATTTAATCTTGTAAATAACTTAGTTGGAATATTGTATAATATATAGATTTAGCCAGGGCTAAAAGCGAAGCTCCAATTAATAAATTTATAATTTAAATTAAAAAATAAATTTTTAATCCTCAAATCATTTAACTTAAGGGCACATTCATGTGACTTTTGAGGGAAAGGCTAAGTTATTTTAGAGTGAAACATCTTACATCGAATTGATAACCTTATATGTACACCCAAAAAATAGCAAACATCTTCGATCACATTCAAGATCACAGTAGATTAGGCCTCGAAAACAAATTCTTGGAAAACAAATCACGCCGAATTTTTTTGCGTTCGACAGGTTTACTTTACAAATTCTTGCCAACAAATCTGGGGGTGTTTAAACCAACCTTTTATAATTTTTATACATCACATTTGAGGTGAAACAGTACTATTTATCATACAGACCTCGGACAGAATGCAGTATTTCACAATTTTTCAAGACAAATTGCACTCAGTCAATATTCAGGACGATCAATCGTAAAGCGAAACCGTTCAAAAATTTCCAAAATCACCCATATGGCTAGCCGGTTCTCGTTTCTATAGTGCGAGCTGTCAGTGTGGTCGAGTGTTTGAATGAACTTTAATAGAGTTAAGCTTCAACATAATAGCGAATTAATTTTTTTTTTTTTTGTTATTTAATGGTTTCAGTTATAACGATGTGTAATCTTATAAAGCGTTTGATACGCGCGACATTTTTGAGTACTCCTGCAAGCGATGTTCATGAACGATGAAAACAAACGGCACAGACAAGCGATTAAAATTGCAAGAGAGACTACTAACAATCAAAAAAAGAAATATAATTCGGTGAAACATTTACAGAGATAACAATTTTCATTCATGAAGACAAGTATTAAAGTGTCTCTAAAAATCCTGAGTCTCGGCGTGAAGCTTTATAAGCCGGCTTCCCGGCGCGGGTGTTTACTGTTTTCCAAGGTGAACTCCTCGAAGCAAGAAAATCGCTCAAAGTTTTCTTTCTACAGCCAAATTTATAACTAAATATTCTTCGGAACGTTTTCTATCTGTGGTGAGCAAATATATCTGAAGGCTTTTTAAAGTTCTGTAAGCTTATATCAAACCGTTCAAACCTGATACTAGGTCAGATCATTGACTCAAACTACGGCTACAAACGTGCATAAACTTGCCGCATAAACTGTCAGCGTGAATGTGCAAGACTTCATGAAATTAGATATAACAAAAACAAACATCAAATACAATAGTTACTCAGGCTTACCATTCGAGATTCAGTTCCTGAAAGCTATCAAGGAAGGCCACAGTTGCTTGAGACTTTTAAACCCTCTTAAGCATTAAGCAAGGTGAAAAACGAAAACGATGCCATCCGAAATCGAATTACCAAATTTTGACAAGCGACGCGTTCCTCAACCAAAAACCCAGTAAACAAACCAGCCATGAATAACAGAAGACTCTTGATAGCAGCTGTATTTCATTTTGTACATCCAGAAGAAAAAGACAGTTAAAAACATCACAAGTTGACACAAAACTCTTCAGCTTCAGCTGTCAAAGTAAACAATTTTCAAGATGCTGCATAATTTTTTCGCATGAACTCACCTGTCAAATTTTGACCAATCAGAGTATAAAAATTGGACGTAGAGCGTGACCAACGCGTGACCATGGTAAGATAAGGTCTTCCCCGCCTGTACTTTTAAAAAAACTGGCTGAATTTTCGCTTCCGAAGTCAGTTTGAAATCAAAATTCTAATAGTGCGGGGCCATAGTGACATAAACACAACATATTTGATATGAATCCTTGGAAAAAATAAACTTGAGCCTGCGATCATTTCAAACTGGTAATTTGTCAGCGGATAACTTCAAAAAATACTCGACCTCGATGGGTCGACACTTGAGCCCGCGCTACGGTCAGGTGATACTGGTCAGCGGATGCCCTGTTTTGACAGCTGTCAATTGATCACAACATTGATGTGAAATTAGTTTTCTCTTGGGCTCCCAAACTAGCTAAAATGTGAGAGTAAACATTGGTTTTCCCGTGGTGCGGACGGACGGTCGGTCGGCGGTCGGTGTACGGTCACGTGATTACCAAATTTTCTGGGATGGGTAGATTTACTTAGCAATGGGGCTCCGCCTACGCGCGCGCTTCGCGCGCGCTTGGAGCTCTGCTATTATCTTTAATGTATTTCTGTGTACTGTTGTTGTATTTCTGGTTAATGGCAAAATAAAATGAATGAATAATGAATGAATAATGATGATTAACCCTTGAAGCCCCAGTATCCACCTACAACTTCTCCAGACTGGTCTCCATACATATCATAAAAGAATTAGTTGAGAGAATTTGTTTAAAGATCGAAGTAAGTTCCCTTAAGTGATCATATTGTAAATTCTCGTGGCCTGTTCTCTTGATTATGTATTGATATCGGTGAGAGAGATTTGATGTTAGTCACTCTTAGGGCGTTAGGGGTCTTCAATGGTCAGTTCAATTTTTGACCTGACATTAGTGGTAAATTTTTCGGTCAATCCTAAGTTTACTGGCGCAATGAGAACGAAATGGAGACTTAAACAAAATACGCATGGCTATATCATGGAAACCTTTTCACGCCTATCAGGATAGCCAAGGGAATTAAGAAATCGTGAAGGAATAAAGGCATAGACAATCAAAACCATGTGGGCAATATATATAGGAAATGTTGAATGCATATATGTAAAATAGCAGGTTATTACCTAAAAGCGCTAATTCGCCGGAAGACGTTGAACATTAATCCAAGAACGGTAAGAGAAAAAAGTCATACAAAGGTAGTAAAACTAAGAGGAGGGCAATATGAAGTTATTTCACACACTTGGTATTGCCCACTATGTTTCCACAAGAATGATTTTCTTTGAGCCTGTTCACTCATGCAAGATGGCTCCAAATGATACGTGCATCTTTTCGTGTTTCAACTGAAGCGACTTTGACTGATAGATCCGCAGAAAAGGAAAACTCAACCCATATTTATATGAAAACAACACTTTCGAATGTTTTAGTCTGAGCAATTCGTCGCAGCATATTTTTAATTCCACAAGTCACGGAGGGTACAGATCACGATGCAAAGATATCCTGCAGAAACGTATATATCAGGCCAAAAGCGCCTCCTAACCTTAATTATTATCCCAATTGTTGTTTTAGATCGAGGGAAGATTGTTTGGCTTAAATTAGCTACCAGTCAATACTGTAACTGTGACCTATAAGTGACCTGTGCAAAATGTGACCTATAACAGAAGATGCTGAACTTTATTACCAGAAGTGGAGAAGATGGACAGTGGAGGGAAATTAAACGATCCAAGTGACTGACAAACACCTTAAATAAAAAAACATACCTTTAAACTTTCAAAGATTTTCTTCTCGAACTGTTGTGCGTGCTCTGTCTTCTTAGACTAAGATTAAACATACGGATCACGTGTTTAAGCCGCAAACCTGCTTTTTTCTAGATCAATTGTGTAAAGTAAACGGGCAATATTGGTATGACGATACGCCCAGAAGAGCACTGGCTACCCATTTTTCGTACAAACTTAATGTTTGTTTACTGCGTCAGGTTTCAAATAATATGAGGGAATTGGTTAACCCTCACCCCTCCACCATGCCCACTAAAATACTTAAACTGAAGAATTGTGAGTAGCAATGAGAGCTATAATGGAGATATTAAACCTACGCGCACGAGCATAACGGTGCTTTCCTAATATTCTAAGGGATGGCTCAGTTATTTAACAGATAATTTGTCTTCTTGTAGCTGGGCATTTACGCACTTAAGTTTTAGGTGATACAAGTTAGGTACCCAATCTACGGATCACACTGGAAGCACAATGCTAAAATGAGCAAAAATGATACGCTATTGAGGATCGAGACCCTCAAAAACCACACCTATCGGGCGGCACATACCTAAATAGCCCACATATGAGAGTTCCACCTTTAAACATGATATTGTCTTTTTTTTCGTGTCAATGTACAGTTGTAAGGATGGAACATGTAGGCACACCTATGTTTTTTTTATGTTTCAATAAAAATAATAATTGTTTGTAATAATTTGTTATCAAATCACGCTGATGACACTTGATTGACTATAGTAATCATTGCATTGCATTATCATTGTTATGATTTGTTTGTTTGTTTGTTTGTTTTTTTATGTTAAAGCTTTTGCAATACTGTAACTACATAATTATAGTCATGCAAATAAAGCTTATGTTGTTGTTGTTTCAGCGACTCTTTGGAAATCTTAACCAGTCGTCGTCGTCGTCGCAGCCTGCAGTCAACTATTCATAAAGTTGATGCCAGATCAGTTGACTTCAGAAACGATGTTTTGCCAGACGTTCAAAAAGGAACGCCAAATAACATACGTGTACCATTTGATGAAGAATTAGAAGATGGGCAGGACAAGTAGGACTTAAATTCAAAACGCTGTCCGCCCTTTCAAACCTTTTAAGGAGTAAAGATCATAAAGTACCTTAAGCAAAGTACCAAGCTTTATGAGAAAAATCCACTTTTTAGTATGAAACAACCGAATCTGGCTATTTAATGTAAAATCAGCACAGGGTCTAGAGGAGTTTCGTGTGAATGTATGAATTACGTTTTTAAAGTCTCACCTTGAAAAATGTCTATACCTGTCGCTTAGCACGATTAATTAGCCCAATGGAATCTTTATAAATCTACTGTAAACGATTTCTTCGCTTCTTATCTGACCCAGATCGACTTTTGAAAATCAATAAACGCAAGCCATATTCTCGCTGGCGCACGGCACGTCGCCCTCAGTCTCTTGGTTTGCGGTCTATAAAATGTGTATCGAAACTGTAACGCGATCAAAATAACCCATTTTTTCAGAGGTTTTCGACGGGTTTTGATGTTCTAACGACAAACACATCTTCTCTGGACCCTGTGAAATCAGGTGAAAAAATCGGCAAAAGGCGATTTATAGGTTTTTTGGTTAAACATTACGGACAGGAGTTCGCCATTTGCACATCTCCCATAATGCACCTTGTTTGCTCCCCGTCCTCCTTCCGAAAAAAAGTTTGCATGGGCATTGTCTTCATTTGTCGTGGGACAACTGCAATACCTAGGAGAAATGAAAAACAAAAGTTATGCAAAACTTTGAAAGGCAAATGAGGTGTATTATGGGAGTGTGCTAATGGCGAATGGGATCAGCTTGATCCTAACTGGAATCACTTTTAATTATATGTTTAAGTGTAACAGTAAAAGAACGCTTCTTATAATTTTTCTTTTTTAGTAACAGATGAAAGACCAGATTGTTATGAACAAAAAACCACTATGATAAAGATGAGATAACAACTGCGCACGTTCGATGTATTAAAATTTTAACCTGACTCCGAGGTTTTCTGGTCATATTTCTAGATTTGTTTTTTATTGTTGTTCTCAAGTCTCTTCTGGGAATTGATGAAGGTCAATTTTGCATAAACCAAAATATCGAGCAAATAAATCAGATACGCCTGTCCGTCAAGAGGAACATCGGTACAGTGACGGCGAACTCGAAATCCTTTCAAATGGCTCAAAATGCCTCTCTTGAGGCAAAAGGACGAAAATATAAAGCAGGCAAGGTAACACAACGTTTATTTAACATTGATCAATATACATATTTAGCGATATTAATATTGCTACAGATGGAGTAAATGGCAAGTCCAATACATTTATTATAAAATTACAATCCGGTTACACAAACAGATTGTGTGGCGACCCTGTGGTTATTACAGCGGTAATTTTGGTTGTGTTCCGGCGGAGGACAGGATAGTTATATAAGAAAGGATAAAATGTACTTCAGAAAGTAGTACGTCAAACCCCCGTTGATACGAACACTGAGGGGGCAATAGAAAGTTTCCGTATCAACAGGGCGTCCGTATTAAAGGGGCCGTGTCATAGTAGTCCAGTCCAGTTCATTTTATTTAATTTTGCCAATTACTCGCCCTCAATTACTATGGAAATTAAAGTAAGCAAAGAAATTACAGGAATATGACAAAATCAGACATCCGAGACAAACAAATATGTCTCCTGAACATTATTTTTGAAGTTGCAAGCAGCAGGGATCAACTTTGAAAAACTGTTTAGGTGGCTGTTAGGCTAAACAGTTTTCAAAAACCCTAATTTCAATCCGTTTCAATCTTCTTCAGTTTTGTCCATCCATGGCATCTGTTGTTTCTGTTATGTTTTTTTTAACCGTCCTTGAAAGTTTTAAGCTGTTATTTTTATGTTTCTCTTAATTCAACGGGCATTTTGCAATTTCCTAACTTGGCGGAATTTCGTGACACAGCTCCTTTAAGCGGGTCATGTTGTTACAGTAAAAGACACCTTTTATCAGAACAAAATAATAAAAAATAAAAGAGGACATAAGTATCGTCAAATAAAAAATATCTACCTTCACAAGGTCGGCACATTCAGCGGACTAAATCCTCGGAAACGCTAAAAAATCGCGCATCTATATATAAGTTAATCGAAACCGTTTCCTGTAAAACTCGTTTGATGCCAAAGTAGTCGGGAAATTAACGTCTACAAATCATCCTAATCCGGTGCTGTAGCACTAGGAACAACGACATGCTGTTATCTGGTTAATTGATGGTTTTTTTACCTTCAAAAGGGGACGGTCTATTGCAGCCACACACAGTTGATAAAGTGTCCGCGTTAGCGAGGTTGACTTTCTATGAGAACTCAGTGTTGATTGGGCAAGAAACCGTTTCGATGTCCGTATTAAGCGGGTTGAATGAAAAGAAAATGTCAGGGCTGGACAAAGAAAACTGTCCGTAATAACAAAGTTGGTGTCCCTAAAGCAGGGCTCGACTGTATCTGCATGCCCTGTCTTAATCCAGTTGCCAGGAGAAACTGCCCGGTTGTACGTGCAGCTATTGAAATGCGGAACTATATGGTTTGGCATAGTCACAGTAAACACATCAAAGGGTTAACAAATACAAGCTGGGGTCCGTAAAGCGGGGTTGGATCTGATTGTATTTTTTACTTTTCATAACCCAGTTGCCAAGAGCAACTGCCTGGTTGTACGTGGAGCTATTGAAATGCGGAACTGAATTGCCTTGCATAATCACAGTAACACATCTATGATTTTTATCTTTCTATATACTGAGACAGTGTTATTAATATTATAATCAAATTACCTTTTTACCCCCCCCTCCCCCCCTCAAAATTAAGTTGATGATGTTTAAGATGGCCTGAGGCAGATCTGACTTCCGCAGTCATCACGGATTTCTAGTGGCGCTTTTTTGGGTCTCTGCTAAAGAAACCGATTCTACCGTAGGCATCAAGAAATACCACACGTTTGTCCATTTTCGATGTATGAGCGCTACCGGAAGCGATGTTGTAAGTTGCCAATTTTTTGGGGACGTTTAAAGGGAAAACCTTGTCACTCAAAAACTTGCCAAATACAGTTCACAATTCCTTCTAAACCTTGAACGTGTGAAAGAAGAAACTTAAATTAACTGAATTTAACTGAAATTAAAAGAAAATTGATAAATTTAATTTCTTGCATGATGCCCACGATATTGTGAAATATTGACCCGGACCTTGCCGTGCGAAACAATCCTTTCTACTTGTACCCCTCATCCTGTCATCGTTTATCTTATTCTGAATGCTGAACTTCGCTGTTTCCCACATAGGCATACATAAATTTATTTGTAAGGCCGCTTACACATTCAATAGTGACTTCTCAAGGGAATTTTTTAAAAAGCATGACGTTTTACCACATTATCCGCACTAATGAGGCGGGTGACAAAAAAACTATAGCCATCTAAGGTATAGTCTGCTACACAGCCGTTTTTAGTGTCGTCTCGCAACGCGGGGAGGAGCGTTGCGTGACGACACTAAAAACGGCTGTGTAGCAGACTATCTGAGGTAACGTCTTGAGTGCACGACTTTCGTCAACCAAAAACTTCCTGTACATGTCAAATTTCAAGCGCCCTTTGCCAACAAACGCTCTCTTCCAATATCTTTGCTCCATAAAACATTATGGTCACGTACAACAATTAAGGGACTGATCACTCAAGATGAATTTAATGGACTCTCTAACAACTTCTCCCCACTACGTCTATAGAAAGTGCATAAATACAACAAATGAGAATTTAAATTTTGATATCAGGTTTAAAGGTTTAAGAACTTAATTTGACCTAGCGTAGCGCGTTTATCTCTAACGATTCTATGTTCTACTCACAACTTAAATTTTGCAACTAGCACGCAAGGTAACCAGCAATCAGAAGTTCTTTTTTCAGGAAAAGCGCAAAAAAATAATGTGAAGAAGGACCGCCTGATCGCAGGTTACAATTAAGACCCACCACGCACGCTATGCTGAAAGCGTCCTGATGTAAATATTGTAGATTTCCTTCTTTGGCTTCGTGACAACATGATGTTTGTTCGACCAGGAATTTATGCTCACGCAGCACTGAAGTTTTAAAGGAACAGTATCGCGTTACTGCGCATGCACCAAACTGTTTTTTTTTGGACAGGATGTCGCGAAATCAAAAGATGCGAGGAGAGTAAGAGAACCTTGAAAAATTCGTTTGCATCGCGCTTGGCCGAGTTCGCTACTACACTAAAAGTTCTCAGGATTACAGATCAATGATATATTGTTCCTGTTAAGTTTCGATTTGGGCGAAATCTGGATTTTTTGGCGTTACTTTTATTGCCGTTGGCCGGAGGACCAGAAGATGGGAAGCGCTTTGATGCCGATTGAAGGCTTATTTCTTGAGCTATCTTAACTTCCATACAAGCTCAGATAATTATGAAAGGAATACGCAGAAATGAAACAGCTACAATTTTAAGACTGTAAGAAAGAAACCATTGAGACATTGATGTGACTGAGGAGATCCTGTGGAGGGGAGCTTCGTGAAGCAGAATGTCTTGCAACGACGCGTTAGTAAACTTTTAAATGAACCTCCCTACGGCCGACAAAATCAAACAAACAGGCGCTACATGCATGTTTAGAAAAACTAGTGCAATGAAATTGACTAACCTTTGCGATGATTCATATAGCGTTGAGATTGCATTTTTATTTGCTGGAACGCGAGCAAATTAGGCAAATATTACTGGACTTGGAACGATTAACCTCTGACAGGAGTTTCAAATTAGAAAAGCTATTTTAATTTTAAAGCGAGCGGAACGAGATTTTCGGGTCGCAAAGCAGCCCTGCTAGAGACAAAATCGCGATGAGTCTTCGTGGCGCGAGCCAAATTTTAAATAAGACGAAAGACTTCTTTGAAACTCTGAAATATTCCTTGGGAATATAAACAACAAATCTGCGTCGGCGGTGGGGTCCGGAAGGAAATCTTGTCGAGTCAATGTGACAGAAAAAACAGATGACGCTCGCGCGTGCGCATAATCGGGACACTGTCCCTTTAATACGCCTTAATGACGTCGGGGATAGAAATAAACATGCCGCAAGCTTGAATTTAAACTACAGGCGTCTCATGTTTTTTAACTTGGTCAAAGAAATCCACGATTGTTGAACGAAACACATGTGTCAAAGGAATAACAAACGAGTATAACGTAACTTTTAAGAAATCGCGGAAATTCCTGAAAAAGGTGTTGTGCAAAAATCATCCACATGGAGCCATTTGATATCTTGAAGTCCTTGAATATTAACAGTCAAAGAGGCCGATTAGGGTGGCGAAGAAAGAAAGAAAGAAAGAAAACTAGATTCGACTATTCATAGTCTTTCAAAACTGAAATAAACACAATGAAAATGACATAATACATGATCATTAACGTCCGCGCAATCAGATCTCGTTAAACTCTCTTGGTATCAAGTGGAAAAAATTATTTAAACATATAACCAATACTTAAATGCTTCCAATACATCGTTTTCGAAGGTTCATACTTCCCTTTTATCTAAGACTTAATTATGTTTTAATTTAAAACTGAAGTACACGATTAACATACAACATACCAAGAAACACTGTAAGAACTATAAGAACGTCATAAAAATGTTGTGAAGTATTTGGAAAGTAATTTTTAAGCCGGATTTATCTCATCTTTTAAGAAGTTTAGTTTTGTTTCATCAAGTTGGACAAGGTTTGATGGCAATTATCAATTTATACTGATGCGGATCGCGGCCGGAGGGTCGATCGAGCTGATTGCACAAGTCAAGTTTACATTGGCCCCGAACTCTCAGGATCTGAAACGCTTGTGCAACTTCTGGCCGAGGCAGGGGTGGGAATCTATAATCCGAATGCCAAATCGAAAGAGATAAAGGGAAGATTATGATTTTAAACAAACAGGAACTCCGGCCTATCATTCCCTGCCGATCCTCGGCATAATTATCGACGGTCAAACTGTTTTAAATTTGGTTAGGTCGAGGTTTTAATAGTTAAAAGATAATTTGTTAAATTATTCAGTCAAAAAAACAAAATGGACTGGTTTGATATGAGTTAGGACGCTCCGTTCTATTTTTAACATTCTGATTTTAAATTTTGGCTTCACGCCCGTCTACATAATTGACCTTTTGTGGAACACAAATATGAATATCCCGTTGGGTTAGTGGCTTTCGCTGAAGGAAAGACGCATATCAAATCACTAACAGCACACGCACGTTCATGTTAATTATCATGGCCTTTCACGCGCAAAGATCATTGTGCGATCTCGCTGCATTTATTGATCGTTATGGAAATGCTTTACCAAAGACAGTCAGGGTTGTCGATGGGTTTTGTGGAGCTAATGACGACGATACACTGGACCCTGATCAGGTCTTACTTTTCCACAGATTAGAGACAGAGAAAGCAATTCTAGGACTTGATGAATATCGTCAAGAGATTTGCATACAAGAAAATTCCAACACCAAAGTTTACCTTCTTCCGCTCGAATGTAGCACATTTGAAACAGTTCAAGAACTTACCAATGTTCAATGGTCTTTTATTCTCGTTCTTGAAGATATTTTAACGACTGGGATCGTTTCAGGAAGTAAGCTGAAACTGCTGAGGGATGAACAAAGCAGTCCTCACTGGTTGAAATGCCAAATTGTCTTCAGTCAAGACGAATTCCGGGATGTTCTACTCCCTCTTCATGTGAAAGGAAAGTTTCTGCCGCTTTTGGACCCCTCAGAATACTACTTGCACGAGATTCTAGCGTACAATCACCTACCAGTAAATGTTCGATTTATATCTGATTTATCAAAGCCCAATACCCGCTTCGCTTCACAGTCCTTGGCACATTTAGGTCACGTCCTTCTTACACACAAAACCGAAGTGACAATGGTCTTTGCGGCATCGTTCAACCACGACTTGTCGCTATACGTTTTCCCTAGGACTCTTGACATCACTGTTCGCCTCAGATCGGACGACTCAGCGGAAGCTAGCGATAAGGTAAAAGAATGCAAAAGGCTCCTGCAGGAAAATGACTGTCAAGTGAAACAACTAGACAATGCAGTGAAGGAATCCTTCTATTTCACAGCAAATCCAGTCAGGCGTTTCCGCGTTCAGCTGCCTAAAAAAACTTGTCCAATACCACTTCCAAGATCACGCTATGACTCTAAAGCGCGTGACAAGGCTTCGCCAGGATCCATTAAACCTCTTCAAAGAAGGAAACTCCTTCCAAAAAATAGTGGAGACCCTCAAACATCTGAACCAGGTGCGGTTGTCAAGCCTATTACAGATAATAAAGGCCTTGGTGACGTTTTCGAAAATTCATCATCTTCAGAAATTTCACATGAAGTCAATCACAAAGATGAATTCAATTCTGAGGTACCTGCCCTACCCCCTAAAACAAGATCATATTCAAGAGACACAAATGAAGCCAAAACTGTCAAACTCCAAAGTCCGTCTTCATTTGAGCCCACTTCAAAAAATCAGCTGGTGACAATGGCAGCGTATGAAAACGTATCCAAAGATTATCAAGTGATACAGGCAAATTGGCGAGAGACAAATAACGATGAATACAGCGAATCGGCACAGAGAAGGGGTAATCCAGAACCTGAGCTGCCACCAAAGCCTGTATTCCTCAGGCCATTGCTTGCTGACACTGAAGAAAATAATAGCTTAATGCTACAAGACAGTCCTCCTCCACCACTGCCTCCAAGGAAAGGCGGGGACAGCTGTCCTGGAGAGCGCGTCGAGAAAGAAGAAAACGTTGCCTTCATAAGAAGTAAAAATCCCTTACCAGTGTTACCTCCTAGGAAGGAATTATCAGATGTTGCTTATAAAGTAGTCAATGTAACAAACTGGAAATGGTATGAGGACCAATTTGCGTACACCGAAGTCAAAGATGAAGGACACGTCATTAGTCAAGATAGTGCTGGAACCTTGCAAACCCAAAGCGACATTTGTGGGTCACAACCCCAAGAATGTGCGCTGGAAAATGAAAGGCAACGAAATGGCGAGTCATCTTACGAAATCAATGATTATCGGGGAGCTGAGGAAATTGGTGCTGAAGAAGACAGTGTGGAAGATGGGACGTACGAGGAGATTGATACTTGGTGTGCGTCTCCTTCGACAGAGGAAAATCTACTGAAGACGAACACGAACCCACAAAAGAAAAAAGTTACTGTACCGTCAACGAATCCCAGCACACCAAACAACGTCAAATGTCCTACGCAAACAAGTCAAGAAAAACCAGCCATCGCTTCATCGCGTAGGTTGAAAAAAGAATTGATAATCTCAAACCGATGCGAGGACGATTTCATGGATTTTAAAGACATTGAACAGTTTCTTAAAATCAGGAAAAAGTTGAACGACATGCGTGACCACGTGAATGATCTTGAGAAAAAAGTCGGTGTAAAAGAAGGGCTGGGGGATGAATCACGTGTGTTGTCCGGCACCATCGATGAAATGGCCTCTTCTTACAGGTTTGACAGAGTGGAAAACAGGACAGATGAAAACAGGAACATTTTTATTTCGGTTAGGACGCTAAACAATTTTAAAATTGGCTCAGAGAGCAGAAATGTTGGTTCGGACAAAGATGGAACTGAAAAGAGTACAGGAGAGGAAACTTCAAATTCGATTTCTCCCGTCAATACTCTGGATTCCGATGACGGCGATGAGGCTTATGCAGAATGCTGCGAAAGAGAATTCTCCCACATTGAAGACGATTCGGCTTGCTACATGAGCAATTCTGAACAAGGTGGACAAAGTACCGGCGATAGTGCTGAACATGGTGTGGAATCTGCCAACTACAACACCGTCGAGGTAGGAACATCAAGCTACTTGCAACTGGAGAACTCCAATGAAGAGGTCGAAAATGTTTATGTAAATGTCGATGCCGAAGACTTCGATCAGGAGGCGCAATGGGGTAAAGTAAAAGAACTCCCACCCCTTCCTCCTAAAAAAAGGACAAATTCAACCTGCCCCTGACAGCATACCGCCCAGGGAAAGTTTGGTGAGAAAAATGAACAAAAAAAAGTGGTATGAATGTGAAGCGAAAAACAATTATGATTCGACACAATGTGTCCAAAATTGTAGTGGGCAAATTTCATGGCTGTCTCTTGTCTCGCCTGGAGTCGCGAACTGATGCGTGCACAAGCGAATTGAGACCAGAATTTCTTAAAACCAAATTCTAGTGCTGTTTATGCCGTTGAAGATCTCTAGCTTAGTCACCAGCATTGGCTGCAAAGCACTAAAATAAAGTTTTCATTTCATTTTCATTCACCTTTTTCATTCCTAAAAGAGACAAAACTATCTTATGTTCTATGACTTAAGCATTTAAAAAGAATTATCTCCAAGTAAATTTGAAGGGTTCTCCTTTGAATGGTTGCACAATATGATTTCATTGAAACGTGTCTGTACAATTCTCCGCGAGAGTCAGAGGGGGTACACTGAGCTCATATAAGTTGCGCTGGTATAAAAAGATACTACCTTTTTTGGCGTTGCGGTCGGATTCATCGTCAATCTTACGTCGTACAATTTAATAAGAAACGAAGTCACATATGGCAGGTCTCAAAACGCTACATGACATGACAACATGACTTTCTGTAGTATCGCAGTCTGTCGACAAAATGAGCGTATAACTAACTGAACTTCATTGGTTTGTAGCTTCTTGCCGATCGCAACCATGTAAGGCCCGGTTTTCAGACTCCAAACTTTTCGAGAGCAGAACGTTTAGCTAATTCGAATTAAGACCGACCCTAACTATTTAGACCGCCTGAATTGATTCAGACGCCGAACCTTTCTTGTACCTTAATTCAATGTATTAGGTTCGGCTTATGAAAAGATCGGCGTCTGAACCAGGCCCAAGACCAGTATACCAAAACATTACCCACACCGAGTTTACCTTGTTTTTATTCCCACGGTCAGCTAAAACAAACATGTCTTGCTTTGGCTATAAAAACCGCTACTATTTTACTTGTTAGAAGGACAGTTAGAGTAAGCAGTATCATTTTTATACCAGCTCGAGGTATTTGAGCTGTACCCCCTCTCTCTCGAAGTGAGTAATTGCCAACTCTCGGATTTAGTGTCCAGTATGACTTATTAACATTGCACAATTTCAAGGAAAAAAACACATAAGGCAGGTCTTAAATTGCTGTGTTTTTGAAATAATGCTATGACATAACTATCTGTAGTATCGAAGTCTGTAGAAAAAAAGAGCGAAACTTAAGACATTGGATCTTTTGCAGTATTTCCTCCGCAGTGTTTTGAAAATAAAGAAATGCAAATTTATGGTTATGAAAACAAGCTTCGTACAGAAGTTGATACTATATTTACAGAGTTCCTGTGTGCGATTTTTTGGCACTAGAGTTCTTTCCTTAATTGGTCAATTCCTCAAAGCCGACGGAAAGTCATTTGAAACCGAAAGTAATTTAAGTCATGATAAGAGTAAAACATCCGCATTTTCGTGACAATTTTTCGTGACATTTTTTAAGGACAATTGACTTTAATAGTTTTTTGTGTGTGTTTTTAAAATGGAGAGTGTTCTATTTTGTAGTTTACAGTAGCTACCAGACCCGCAGTATACAGACTGCCAACCGCTGATCAATGGTTGTAACTTTTTGCGTTTTGATAAACAACTGTAAACATGGTAAATACACTTCCTGAGGGTAGATTACATTTGATAAAGTAACCAGGTAACGGCTAGTCTGCTACACAGCCGTTTTTAGTGTCGTCACGCAACGCTCCTGCCCACAAAGTTAGTGGGGAGGAGCGTTGCGTGACGACACTAAAAACGGCTGTGTAGCAGACTAGATAGCGGCTTGATTCAATAAATACCAGATCACCTAATAATATATTACGTACAAATTTGATTTTAATGTTCTGAGTGAAAAACGGTACCTAAATTGTAGGTCCTTACTCTAGGTTTATACAATAAAATGACCCTTACCTATCCGTGTTTTTTAGGTTCAAGTTTGTCTTACTTTGGATCCCGTTTTGTTTCAAACTCACGTATTATAGTCAAAGGAAATAAAACTCGAACCAATGAATAGTTTTAGCCACGAATTTGTACCCTTTGCAGCGGCGGCGGAGCAAAATAAAATAAAATTGGACATAAAATAAAATTGGACATTCCAATTTTTTTTCGCTCCCCCTTCCCCCTCCCCGCAATAAGCAATAAAAGGCGGCCTCTGTCTTTTTTTCGGATAGTGGAGCAGGGTGTGTTCCCCACGATACGACCTTAACGCCTGGAACAGGCTAAGAACATTTTAGACCTCTAGGATGCTTCAATGCTGCCGACAACAAAAACTACATAGGATAGCCTTCTATCGGGGGTGGGGGAAGGAGGGAGGGAGAGCGGATAAAAAAATGAAATGTCCGGTCAGACGCCATATTGAAACATGAGCTAATAGCAGCGAGAACAAAGCAGTGGACTGCCCGGAACTTACGAAAATTGTGTGCACAGAGGGATCCGGTGCCCACTTTTGTGCCGGAGTACAGGGTCGAGACCTTGTACTCGGACACCGGCACCATCCGAATTCTAGCGTGGGTACTTGCGCAAAAAGGGTGAGTTCGTGCTCAACGAGTACCACACTTCGGCCGACCGTGCCCGGGCAAGTGTGAACGCTGCCTGCGAGTTTTATTTATGCTAGCAACATGATTTTCCTTTCAAATTGTATGGGTAACCTTTGTCCATCAAGTGTTTTTTATATAAATTTGAATGATACTTTCCTCAAACGTTGCTTCAGAGGAGTTTTGTAGGATTCTCAAGGCTTCTCCTTTGACAAAGGTGAAATGTGTGTACTGGAAGGTTTCCATTTGTTTAAAATATGTCTTTACATCGTGGACAACTTTTTCGTTGAATCTCGTGCCTATGTATACCACCGTGTCTAAAAACATTGCCTCAGTTTCAGATATTTCGGCCGTGTATTAATAGCCTTGTTCGAAGAAAACTACGATGTCTGGTTTACTCAAGTCCCACAAGGAAAAAAAATAACATGTATGTAGCATTGGTTTAAAGACGGTTTTGCTTACTAGACTTTGTGTTTCAATATAACATATAAAACTGCTGATGTTGAAAGATACTATTTTTCTCTTAGCAAGGAATTACGATCGAAACTATACTTCAATTGTTTCCTCTCGGATAACTTCAGGGCTAGTTCAGTGAGAAATCGTTCCACTTCTCTGCCCTTCTTTGCATTTCCGTTTCTGAGTATAGAACCAAAAGGAATAATGGTACAGGACGGCGGTCCTCTGGCAAATATAACGACAAATTTCGGATCTGGCTGTTAACACATTTCTAAGCTCTGTCTTAAGTTATTGTTGAAGCAAATTTGATCGATCTTCTCGACTTATCAAGTTAAAATCCGAGGCCTGCATACGCTTTTACGTTTATGATAGTAAAAATACTCTGCGTCTTTTTCTCTTATTATTCTCAGTAATTCGGAACTGGAAACGACTATTTCACCATGTTCAAAATATTTTCGCTCCAAGTAGATTGTGAATTATTACTGAGGAAACCTTATACGTCAGGAGTATCTTGTGGCCAGTGTTAACAGTTTACAATCTATCCAAGCGTGGTAAGAAACAAGGTCAATTTGTCTAAGTATATTTTTTCTACAATATTATCAATATTATTTCGGTTTCCCATGTACGATTTTTATTGGGCAGAAAATTTCCAAAATGGAAATTATTGACGTTCATTTGCGTTTCTCTTCCTGAGTAAAACCAAGAGGAATAATGGAACAGAGTCGCCCCGGAGGCTTATGGCACTGGCTGGGAGACGGGGGGGGATATGTAGATTTCACTATAGTTATTTAAGGACATCAGTGGTCGATTTCCAGAGGATCGGAGTAATCGGCAAACCTTATACTTTTTACCTTTCGAAACAGTAAAACCAATAAACGGTGCACATTGATACTTGTTTAGGCATAAATGAACCCCAAACAGTCCAGTGGTGGATCCAGACCTTCAGCAAGGGAGGGAGGGGGGGGGGGGAAGGGGGAGGGTGGACCTTTCGGGTTTCATTTTGGTCTAACAATAAGGGGCTTCCGCCCCCCCCGGGCCCCTCTCCGGGATCCACTACTGAATTCTACAGTAAAGGCACGGAAACCAGAAATAAAACTATCAAGTAGGCGGACGTCTCGGGATACAAAACTTCCGTCATGAAAAAAAAATAACTTCTCTAAAATTAACAATATCTAAACTGAGCGTGTCCCTGTCTGTCCCGTTATTCTCTCTTGGTAAAACTGAAAAACATCTCAAGGCTTTCAACACGTGTATTGATATCAACTGAATAGAATATAACATCATTCCGTGTTGCGACTGTAAGTAAAACGCCGACTGGAAGTCGGGGGTCGGGATTCTTATTCTTTTGCTTCGATTTCTCAGTTGCTTTTCCCGAATCGAGACATGAGGCCAAAAAGAAAATCAAACATAAGATCCGAAATAGACCAGAAAACGTCGTGTCGGATCACGGCCTGCTGCTAGCTTACACTAATACCACGCCGAGATACTGGCTTTGGGTGTGTGAAAAAGTCTCATAAACCTATTTACGAGTTTTCGTGAGAGCTAATTTTGTAGACTAGTTCTTAATCTGATTAATCATTCATCCTGCCCGAACAAAGAAGCGGGTTTGGACACGAATTCATCCCCTATAGACATTACTGATTACAATTTTCATGGAAAAAAAACGAGGATCCGTAACTTACAGTACGGACCGAGAAAAACGAGGTTATAGTGACATATTTATTATATCTCTGAGGTTAATTGGGCGCGCTGGAAGGAAACTCTAAAATTTAGCGTGCCATAAAGTAGAATATGGCCCGCAAAATTGACCAATCACAGCTTGCGTACTAACTAGGAGATATAATAACTTGAAGGTTATTCACAGTCAACTCTCTCTTAACAGACACCTCTATAAAACGGACATTTAGAGTTGGTCCCTGCCTTTACTCCCTATACACTGTATTTGACAGTCTTTAACCCTTTTACTGCCAAATTTAGCCAAAAGCATTTTTTGAAATTTTGAAAAATAAATAGCACCATGTGTAAGTAAAGGCAAAGAGCTTTCATTTGAATGTTTACATCATAGGATTTCGTCCGCTGACGGATATCTTTCAAGATTGGTTTCCACTGTGGCGTAAGTTTTCCGTGACTCACATAAATTTTACGCGCGTAATTAATGAAATAGAGGCAATTGATGAAAGGCCACGCGTAAACGTGAAACTTGAGCGAGGTTCAACTTTAACGTTCACGCGTGACCTTTCAAACATTGTCTCTATTTTATTTACGCGCGTAAGTTTACGCGCGTACGCACGTAAAAACTACACGACAGTGGTAATCAACCTTAAGACGGATACTCAGTGCTGCTGGTACTGATCCCAAAGGTGTCCTTCATAGAGAAAGTGGCTGTATTATTATTATTATTATTATTATTATCATTTTCTGTTGTTGTTTTCAAAATTGTGTTTTAATTCTCCGAAATTTTCGCCAGTACATAACTATATATTTGCCATGGCTTCAAGATGGAATCGTCTAAACCATGTTACCTTCTACACTACCAGTTACTTGAAAGTATTATATATTTTAAAGTTATAAGGATTTTACTTTACTACCACACAGCAACAGTACTATATTAATTTTTCTACCTTTCCATTTATTCAGGGTGCAGAATTGAAAAAAAAGAACCTTTTAAAAACATTCACACAAGCGAAAAATAGTAAAAAAAGGACGGAAATGACCATTTTAATAAAACATAATTTCACGAGGATCTTCTTACACCATTTTTATTGTTAAATTCCATCAGCAGAAACACAATGGTTCGTTTTGCCGCTTTATTGAGCAGCGGAGCTCTATCTAGAGACAATGCTTGGCAATCCTTCTCTTTGGACCGAATTTGCGTTGATTCTAAATCACTGGCTTTACTCGCATTGCAATGTTTTTGATGAAAATTCATAGTTAACTGAACTTTGTTGGAAGAATAGCTATATATGGCTAGAAATAAAAATGCTTGAACAGGTTAGTGAAAACTGGTCACATTTGCCACAAGATAATTAAACCTTACGTCACATAGCACATAGTGCTAATTTTCAATAGAAAATAGTTTTGACTCATAAAGAAGCTATATAGCGCGGTGTTTCTCACTCAGAGGGCAAGCGTAACGTTTGCATTTGTCAGGTTTCCTCAAATCTGTGGATTCTAAGATGAGGAGCGTTTTGTGTTTGATAATCTTCCTTTTTGGACGAGTGGCATTCGTCATGAGCAGCCAACATTTCAATAGGAGAGGAGGACTATTCAGTAAGCTAACATGTCCAAAAGACAAACTAGAACTTACACTGGAACTGCTTTTTAATCTGACAGCACCAAACCGACCCATCAAGATAGGACCAGTTTCAAATGCTTGCCTGAACAGGGACATGATAGCAAAATGTAGTTCGAGTAAACCTGAGATTGCAATACCTTGCAATTTTGGCGAAACCACGTGTTTTGCCGTGGCCGACGCGTGGAAATCCAGTTTGATAGTGAGTGTGATTTCAAAAACCAAGGAGAGGCGTGCACGTGAGGAAATCCCACCCGACACTGATCTGTGTAAGAACATATTGGTACTCCAAGCAGTAGTTCTCCCTTTCATACAGAACAGAGACACTTACACTATACTTAATCCGCGTGTGGCTCCTTGGTTTTTCACTGATGATTTAAGCGGATGTGACGTTTTCGTGGCAACTGCTGCAAACCGAGGCAGCCGCCCCATGGTTATACATTCTAACCGGTTATTGTATATTAAGGACCTGGCAAAGGATCTCCAATCGAAGGGAGAAGATGTTGACGAAATGCTAAAAAGAATTTCAAAGTCGGATGGCTATGAATGGAAGGTGATTGCCCGCGTCTACTATGGACCGACAACCGAAACAGGAAAGGAAAAGATTGGTTTGAATCGCTATGCCGATGAACACCGAGGAATTAAACTCGTAGGTTATCAAAAGATACCCGGATGGAAAAATGAAAATTTTGCGTTTTTTGGTCATTACATCGGGCCCAAAGCCATAGCCAAAGCCAGGGGATATCAACCGTGCTGGAGATTCATTTTCAAAGGATATTCGACTGGCACAATACTAAGTAAATTCAGAGTGTCTGCAAAAGGAGATTTGTTTTAAAACTAATAGCAAAGCCTTAAGAATTGTAGCACCTTAACTGAAATCATACTTATCCCGTGATTTCTAACTCACGCATTCACGATGTACAAGGTTGACTTACGCGTCGCTCTTCTAGGATCAATTCAATTTACTTATTTATTTGCTCATTTTATACACTTTTTCTGTAGATTACATAGTATTTGTTATCGAGCAGGATATCTTAGCAAGCCACGTACTAGGGCTTTTCATAGATCTCTTTCTAGCAGAACCAATATAAAATTTACAGTTTTGTGATGGCTACTCTTCAAATACTTGTCCAGTTAAGAAGTTACTAACGGATGTATGCTTAATTCTTCAGTTGTTTTTTATATCTTCCCCACATTGAAGTTGGCTGATCATCATTTATTCGCATTTATCACCCTCCAGAAATAATATGTATACAAAAAAATTTAATCTTGAATAACTGAGATAAGCCGTCTGAATTTTTGCTAATTTATGGAATAAGATACCAGGTGAAATGAGAGGTATGTCATTCCGATTACCTTGATGAAACCATGAAAACGCAAGAAATAAAATCGCGAATTCCTAAACCTCAATAGCTTCTTCACAACTTGCATTACACAGATTTGTTTTTCTTGCTTTTGACGTAAATATACATTTTTTTCTTTTGCCTTCTCTTTTCTTTTTACCCATTGTTGTGTGATATATGTAACGTTTTACATCCCTTTTCATGAAATTAAAATTTGACACGCCACGACTAGCGTTTTGGCTAACTGCGTGCCAAGAAATTTGCTAATATTGTCCTAGTGAAGTTGGAGCCACGACTCATGTTGAAGTCAAGTTAGATTATTTCAAATTTTTTTTGTTTCGTTTTTCTTCTTTTCCGGGAAATGACTCTTAAAATACAGTCGAACCCCGCTTTAGCCTACGCCCGGTTAATACGGACACCTCGTTATTACGGACAGTTTTCTTTGTTCCTGGGGAAAACCCTTTCATTTCTCTAAATATTCAACACGCTTAATGCTGACACCCATTAATGCGGACGATGGACACTTATTTCTTGCCCCGTTTAATACGGACACCCGTTAATGCGGACAAGAGACACTTATTTCTTGCCCCGTTTAATATGAACACCCGTTAATGCGGACAAGAGACACTTATTTCTTGCCCCGTTTAATATGGACACCCGTTAATGCGGACAAGAGACACTTATTTCTTGCCCCGTTTAATATGGACACCCGTTAATGCGGACAAGAGACACTTATTTCTTGCCCCGCTTTATACAAAGACCCGCTAACGCAGACAATGGACTCCTATTTCTTGCCCCGCTTAATACGGACACTTTTTGTGGTCCCTTCAGTGTCCTTATTAACGGGGTTTGACCGTAACAAAAGTCTTTTACTAAACTGAATTGGCCCTAGTAGCTGCTTTGCTGCTTTTTTCAAAACTTGTCTTGGACTTGGTTCATTTTCAGCCACCTCTATTAATTATACACACCGTAGGCAAATGTTCCAAGTCGGCAACTAGTAGTCTGAAAATTAACCCGGCGGCGTACTTTATATTATTCAGGAGTAGTTCGCGGTGTGGAGGATGAGCTAATCATAACTCGCTGGGAGCCTGTACTTGAAATCATTTAAAAAAAATGGCATGATCGAAGCTATCGTTCCGGAGGGCCTGGTTGTACAAACGTTGGATAGCGTTATATTATGCATTGGATAAAACTGTATCCAGTTGATAAGTATCAGAGAAACCAAATACGTTATTTATCCACTGGATAAGACAACGCTAACAAGTGTTTGAACAACTGGGGCAAGGCTTCCAGTAGCTATAATCTACTTTTTGTTGTTAATTTAGTCCACATGATTTCCAAGAATCTTTGTTCTCTTAGGTGAACAAATAGCCGACATTTAACAACGGCCACCTTGGGGACCGAAGCAAGTGGGCATTGTGGAGAGGTTGCCGGGAGGGGGAGGTAGGGGTGTGATATGACACCCGAGTTTAGAAGAGCTCGCATCGGGTGCCAATCAAATTAGCCTGCGTTGCAGTCGGCCCACGGATGCCGCAGTTTAGAGCGTCTGCGAAGAAGGCTACAACCAAACAGACAAAGAAAAGATTTTTTTCCCGCAGGATTAAAGAGGATCCTAAAAGTATCATAATATACCTTGACTTTACCACCTTGCTGTATTTACTAAACTGATATTTCATAGTAAATATCAGTTAAACAGGTTAGTTTACTTATAAGAGGCAATGCAACATTTTACATACAACTCACACTTGAACTGGTATATTGCCATTTTAGGAGTTTTTCCCTTCGACGGGATTCTAGAAAAGGTTTTATGTATCGTTTTCCTTACTTTTGCGTTGGGTTGGTCCTTTGTGATCGAGATGTGAATTTGTGTAGGGCCTGCATTTTTTATTCGGTAATAAAGCCGTGATACTCTCTTTTACTCTCTTCTTATGTTTCCTGTTCCTCCATCTTTCGATTTTCGCGCTGTCCACTCCAGGACCACCTCCCCATAACAAGACTGAAATANGTATCCAGTTGATAAGTATCAGAGAAACCAAATACGTTATTTATCCACTGGATAAGACAACGCTAACAAGTGTTTGAACAACTGGGGCAAGGCTTCCAGTAGCTATAATCTACTTTTTGTTGTTAATTTAGTCCACATGATTTCCAAGAATCTTTGTTCTCTTAGGTGAACAAATAGCCGACATTTAACAACGGCCACCTTGGGGACCGAAGCAAGTGGGCATTGTGGAGAGGTTGCCGGGAGGGGGAGGTAGGGGTGTGATATGACACCCGAGTTTAGAAGAGCTCGCATCGGGTGCCAATCAAATTAGCCTGCGTTGCAGTCGGCCCACGGATGCCGCAGTTTAGAGCGTCTGCGAAGAAGGCTACAACCAAACAGACAAAGAAAAGATTTTTTTCCCGCAGGATTAAAGAGGATCCTAAAAGTATCATAATATACCTTGACTTTACCACCTTGCTGTATTTACTAAACTGATATTTCATAGTAAATATCAGTTAAACAGGTTAGTTTACTTATAAGAGGCAATGCAACATTTTACATACAACTCACACTTGAACTGGTATATTGCCATTTTAGGAGTTTTTCCCTTCGACGGGATTCTAGAAAAGGTTTTATGTATCGTTTTCCTTACTTTTGCGTTGGGTTGGTCCTTTGTGATCGAGATGTGAATTTGTGTAGGGCCTGCATTTTTTATTCGGTAATAAAGCCGTGATACTCTCTTTTACTCTCTTCTTATGTTTCCTGTTCCTCCATCTTTCGATTTTCGCGCTGTCCACTCCAGGACCACCTCCCCATAACAAGACTGAAATAAATTAAACATTAAAGCCAAGTGAGATATTCTAATTAATTAGAATTATGGCACAAATTCCTATGATTAGGGGCTACAATTGCCATAAAAACATGAAAATCTGGTAAAAATAAGGTCATTTATATCTAATGTTACCGGGTAAGCAGTATGACTGTCAACAAAAGAACAAAATACACGTAAGGTTATTTTTTCCATTTTTTGTCAAATGGGACATGTCACAAAAAGCAGGATTTTATTAAATAATTACCCGGTTTCTTCCTTTGAACCTAAGGATGGAAACGGTTTTGCAAAACTGCTACCCTATTTTCTTTCCTGCTAGAAGTGGCAAGAACTTGGAAGTTATTCCATTGTATTGCCACATATAGAAATAAATTGTAAAAAGTGCAAGTTTTTCAAACAATTTACTAGACTCTTTAAAATGTTTAAGAAATCTGGTGATAAAAATGTTTAAAGCTTTTAAACTTTTGCGACTTGGAAATTTCCAGCGTCGTGTTTGGATGGCCTTCAAACTAGCCATGGAAATTTCCACCGTCAAAATGGTGGTAAGGAATTTTTTTTACCGCATTTTTCACTCAACGCAAAATGACCATGGAAATTTCCAACTTCATTTTGTCAAAATGAAAAAAACCATGGAAATTTCCAACGTCGTCGTAGGGAAATCACCTTATTTCTGGTTGTCCGAAGACAGCTTCTTGTTGTCATCGCGTGCAAAATCTTCTTTTTTACAGACCACGTACTTTTAGTTTTTTTTTACTACATCTCTTCATGATCATTTTTATCTTGCCAGGGCTGCCATTCTTTTCCTGACGTCCGTGATCCTTTCCAACGTTCAGGCTCGGAAAGCGTCACACTTTTCACCTTCCTCTATCAGTAATTTTTTTTTTCTGTAGCCTTGTATACTTGAAAGCTGCTACAAATACGTTCTCTTTAAGAACCACTTCTGCATTGGAACAGCAGAGGACCAGCTTAAACCTGCATACGAAAACAGATGCAATCATGAGTAGGGATATGCTACCTTCGGAAATATAATAATATGTTGTAAACTACTATTAATATAACTATTCCTCCCAGGGAAAACTTTTTTCTGATGGGTTAGGTGGAAAACAGTATGGCGTATTCCTATCCGTTTTTAACAATTTCAGAAACTAACTCTGCATTTTGTAAAACGGCTCATCAAACAAACAGTAGCTGACTTACTTGTCGATGATAATTTAGCGTGTTCCTTATCTTTTGTAGTGGAGCAC